TCTGTTATAGTTTCAGGTGTCCTCATTTTGCTCATTCAGTTTTACCCTTGAACAAATGCTATGGCTTCCACAAAAGCTGATTGAGTAATACATGAAGAAGAGCAGATATGCGATATTCTCTCCTATAGGGAGAATTGTTAAACAAAACCAGGGGACAGAGAATGGCAACTTCATATATTGCTCAAGTAGCATGTGTAAGTCTGCCTTTTGAGGGGAGCAAATTATTCGAAAAGTCCCTTACTAATTATATATTGATGCGTATCTATTTATCCCAAATGTAGCAGCTTAAAACAACAAACATTTATTATATCACATATTTCTGAGGATCAGGAATCTGGGAATAGCTAAGTTGGCTCCAGGTCTCTCATGAGGTTGCAGTTAAGATGTCAGCCAGGACTGCAGCCATTCAAAGGTTTGACTGGAGTTGAAGGATCCACTTCCAGGTCGGTTCATGGAACTTGCAAGATGTCTCAGTTCCTCACCATGTAGATAACTTCTAGGGTTGGTTGAGTGTCCTTATAGCATGGCTACTGACTTCCTCCAGAATGAATGACCTGAGAGAGATCAAGCAGGAAGCAGTGAAGCCTTTTGTGACCTAGACACCTACTGCCACTTATGCCATATTCTTTTAGTTGGAAGTGAGTCCAGCCCACACTTAAGGGGAGGGGAAGCTGCTGCTGTCATCATCGTGTTGTTTCCTCACAGCAGAAGTAACAACAACAAAACCTTGAAAAACTTGCTTCTGGTATTTATAGAGCAAGGTGGGAGATGGGAACAAGGGGATCAAAGAGCAATCAGATAGTGGAACAAATGTGAAGAGAAGAAGCTTTAATGGTGGTGGCCCTGGATTGGGAAAGGCTGTGTGGGACCTGGGCTGCCAACCCAGTACTCAGTATTTACTCCCTCCTGTCTGTCTGTGCTTGTGTCTGTGTTTTGAAATGTAGACACCATGCTGAAATATGATTGCCAGAGAGCATGGATGAATACAATATACATCTCTACAAAATCCCAAAACTGAAAGGAAATTCCAGCAATTCACTTGAAAAGAATGCAATGGTTTTTCTTTCAACTCTAGTTCTATCAGACCAATTCATTGCACCACACAGAAATGGTATTGAATTTATCACAGAATGTACCACATAGAGCTTATTTTCCTTTTTGCTGTTAAATTTCTAAAGGCTCTCCATGCATGATTGGGCTGTTTATTTTATTCTGAATTGATTTCTTTTCAGAAAAGAGGTAGCAGCTAGGGAAGGAACTTACATTTAATGAGCAACCACCATACACCAGACACTTTGTATAGGATTTCTCATTTAATTCTCACCACCACTCTGAAAATAAAGTACAATTATTATTATTATCATTTTATGGATGAAGAAATGGATATTTAGAAAAGCTAAGTAATTCTTTCAGGATCATTCAACCAGTAAGTGAAATAAGCAGGACTCCAATCCAGTTTTTGTTTAATTCCTAAGCCTATGGTGTTTCTTAGGGTGCTTCTTTTTCAGATGGTGAGCTTTCAAGCTTCTACATCAGATTGATTTTAATTGGCTAAGTAGTAGAGTTATTTTTGAATCAATGACAGAATGAATGCAAATATTTTCATGGTGCGTAAATAGTATTTATTAATATGGAGTGCCATTAGCATCAATATTCTAAACTCCATGGCTCTAAGGACCTAATTGTTTGGTTACAGAAAATTCAATGTTCTATAGATCAGTGCTTCTCAAACTTAAATATGTATATAGATCACCTGGGGGATCTGTTTAAAATGGACTGTAATCCAAAAGTCTGGAGTGGGGTTTAAGATTCTGCATTTCTAACAAGCTCTCTAACAAGGTGATACTAATGATGTTTGGTCTCATATCATCTTTTGAGTAGCAAGACCATGGAGTATTCCTCCATAAATATTTTTGGAATCCCCAAGGATGCTTCTAGCTACCTAGTAATTTGTAGTCACAGATCAAGGATGGCTAACTGAGAACTCAAGCTTCTGATCATAGCTATTTTAGAGAGGTTCTCCTCTACACCAGAACTCTGCCTATGGTACCATTTCTGTCTCCTGCATGTGGCTGGATTTGGAAATCTGCTATGCCAGATATTACTGGTTCTGCATGCTACTGCAGTCCCTTGATGTTAACCACAAGTGGTGGCTGATGAACAATGGCAACCAAGAAGAGGGTGAATCAGACAGGCGAACACTACAGTCTTTTCTGCTGCTTGATAGGGAGGAAAGAGAGGGAGCCTCAGACCACGGCTAGCATGGTTCACTCTGTAGGGCAGACAGATATGTGTGGTGTAGATGAAATATCTGCATCAAGTCACAGCTTGATGGCACAGGCCATGAAAAGTATCCAACTCACTCCCCTTGCTCTGATTCCATGTTTTTCAGGCAAATAAGTGATCACTGAAGATGGCAGCCAGGATCTATCTTCTCTGCTAATGTGTCTTCCAGGATTGGCAAGTATTTAACAAGCATGCATTCTAGTCATTTATTCAGATAAACTGTCAAAGAAAACTAGTACTAAGTAGTACCTTCTGTGAGCCAGAGGCTGGATAAGATTCTGGAGATACAGTATCTCTAATCTCAAGAAAATTTAAGCCTGGAGGGAAACACAGACAAGTAACCTAAAGCACATATTGATGGATGTTAGGGAATTATCAGAGCCCAAATCAAAGAAATATAACCCAAATTTGGGATGGATCCGGAAAAGGCAAGACTGTGGTATGCTGTTAAATGTTTAACAAGCAGTTCTCTGAAAAGAAAAAAAGCCCTGATTGTTAGTGTTTCTTGAGCTTCATGGTTTACATGCTTCCATCATGGCTAGTTTCAAGCTACCAAATTGACGTCACTGGACATGGGGTTGTGGGTAATAGTCTCTTGAAAGTCAGGGTAAGTTATTTCTAGTACACCATTGGAGTAGAGAAGGCTTCCCAAAATAAATTATGTCTAAGAAGAGATTTGAGGAAAAGCTGAAGGTCCATCAAATGTGGAGGACAGACAAGGGAATTTCAGGTAGAAGGCACAGCAGATACAAATGACTCCAGGTCACAGGAAACATGTTGCTTTGGCAGTGAGATTCAAGATTCAAGAATTACTCTAAAACTTTGTCCTTTGTGTCCTGAAGCCGCCAGGGCTCTGAGTGCTCAAATATCCCTGGGGGCTGGCACTTGATGCTCCCCAGGGTATTGCTCAATTTCTATACAATGGACTGTATTATTTATTTATAAAATATGTATATTTACCATTATAATCTTTAAAAAGTGTACAATTCAGTGGTATTCAGTGCATTCATATTGTACAACCATCAGCACCATTTATCTCTAGAACTCTTTTCATCTTGTTTCATGTTCATTAAGCAATAATTTCCTGTTTCCATCAGCCTCTGGAAACCACTATTCTACTTTCTGTCTCTATGAATTTGACTACTCTAGGTGCCTCATATAAGTGGAATCATAGAGTACTTGTTCTTTTGTGTCTGGCTTCTTTCATTTGGCATGTATCAGAATTCCATTTCTTTTTAAGGCTGAATAATATTCCACTATATGATAGTCATTCATTGGTGGATATCTGGGTTGTTTCCATCTTTTGACTACTGTTGTTAAAGAAAAGCAGAGCTGTGTACTAGTTAAAGCGTTAAAAACAGATTTTACTCAGGAGCTATTATAACAGGAGTAAAGAGACCTAAGATTATAACTGAGCTCAGTTCTGAATACAACATGGACAAATTCATAGCCAAGGAGCAGGGTAGGGGTCAGTGGGTGGGAACAGAAGTTATGGGGAAAAAGTGGATTCCCTTTCCCTCAAAGCTGCTCATCTTCTAGTCTTCTCCATCTTAGTAAGTGAGGGACTCATTCCTCATTTATCTCTTCCTCTTACTCTACCCTCACATAAATATATTCAGTTTCTACTCCAAAATACATCCTATAATCATTCACTTCTCTCCAGCTTTATTACCATCACCCTAGTCTAACTAACCAAGCCCAGACAAGTTCACATATTCCCTAACTAGTCTCCCCACTGCCACTCCTCCCTTCTTTATTTTTTCCTTTTTTTTTTAAAAAAAATTATTTCCTTCCTTCTTTAAATACAACTCCACATGGCAAACAGAACACTCCTTTTAAAATGCAATTCAGATCACTTCACTGCCCTTCTTGAAATCCTCCAAGGGCTTTCCCTTTCCCCTGGACTAAAATTCAAACTCCTTAATCTAGCTACAAGCCTTTCATAATCTGGTCCAAGCTCACCTCTTTAACTTCATCTCCTTCCACACTTTTCATCTTTCTTCCATGCTGTGGTAGGCATAATAATGCCTCTCTCCCTAAGATATCCACATCCTAATCCCTGGAGCCTATTAATCCGTTACCTTATATGACTACAGGGAGTTGGGGTTGCAGATGACATTAAGGTTGCTAATCAATTGACCTTGAAATGGGAAGATTATCCTGGATTATCTGGGTGGTCCAGTGTAATCAGAAACGTTCTTAAAAGTAGACTAGAGAGGCAGAAGACTCAGTCAGAGAATGAGATATGACCATAGAAGCAAGGTCATCAACATGATGCAATGTGGGAAAGACTCAATCCATGTTCCTTTGAAGATGGAGGCAGTGGGCCATGAGCCAAAGGGTAGGGGCAGCCTCTAGAAGGTAGAAAAGGCAAAGAAATGCATCCTTCCTTAAAGCCTCTAGAAAAAAATCACAGTGCTACCGATACCTTGATTTTAACCCAGTGAGACCCATTTCAGACTTCTGACTTCTAGAACTGTAAAGAAAGTAAATTTGTTTTGTTTTAAGCCACTAAATTTGTGGCAATTTTTACAGAGTAATAGAAAACTAATATACTGCCTCACTATGGACCAGACACACTGGCCTATTTCATGAACAAACTTGTTTCTGCCTCAAAGCTTTTATTTTTATGGTCATCAGTACCTGGAATGCTCTGTTCCCATATAGTTAACATAGCTTACCTGGCTCCCTGTTGTCATTTTGAGCTTGACTTCAAACAGTGGTCTTCCTTGACCACCCAGCTATAAGTAGCTAGTCATCATTTTCTTTCTCTCATATTATGTTTTATTTTCTTTGTAGCATTTTTACCATCTGAAATTATCTCTGACGTTTATTGGTATGGCTGCTTGGAGTCTAATTTCCTACTCTAGAATATACTTTCCATAAGAATAGGATACCTTACTTTGTTCACCATTGTATCCTTGGTACCTGAACAGTATTTGGCACAAGGTACATGCTTAATCATAAATGCTGACCAGAATAAATGGAACCCACTATAGGTGGAGTATAAAGAGTACTGGACAGAGGAGTGTGAGAATAGGCTGGAGAAATGGACAGAGGCAGATCATATGGTATCTTAGAGTCTCCCTTAAGGACTTTGAGCTTTATCTTAATTGAGAAGCCATGGAAAAACTGTAGACAAGAAAAGCAATGCATTTATATTTCTGATTTTAAAAGATTATTTGGTGACAGACTGGAGTGGGGGAAATAGTATATGTGGATGTAAGGAGAATAGATGGGAAGAAAGCTGTTGGGTAGCCTAGGCAAAAAAAAAAAAAAGATGGTAAACTTGTACTAGGGTAGTAGCAGTGAAAAAGCTAATGTAGTGGAGATCAAATTTGGAATTAAAATGAACAAGACTAGGTGACAGATTGGTATATAAGGAGTCCAAATGAGTAGAGCTCAAGAAGGACTTCCAGATTTATATTCTAAACAACTTAGAAGACTATGATGCCAACTTCCAAGATGAGAAACCCGAAGAAGTGTCAGGCCTGAGTGTATGTACATCGAGGAGAAAGATGGGACGGTCAGTTTCAGCTTTGTTAAACTGGAGTTGTCCTCAAGCCAAAAAAGTGGGGATACGGTATGTACAGCAAAAATTTGAGCCAAGAACTCAGATTAGAAGCAATGTGGTACATAATGTGTTTTGAAGATAAAACCCCTCAAAGCTGTGGGATTGGATGAAATTATCGAGGGAGGGAGAGCATAACAAAAGAAGATTCAGAACACTGCAAGTTCTCCTGTACTGAGAAGCCCTATCAATGTTCCTCACTGCAACCAAAAAGCTGACCATGGTACAGATGGAAAGATGCCTGCCTGTACTTTGAGAATTTGCTCAGTCCATTCAAACTACCATGGGTGGGATTCCCTCTTTTCCACTCCTCTCTGCACAGTTAGGTAAAGAAGGAGCTGGCAAAGGATACAGACAAAGAGCAATTAAGCAGGTTGAGCGAAACCATGAGAATTTCATTTCGCAGAATCTATAATAATACCCCAAATTAAAAGAACTGACAGGAAAATAGTGATTTGTGTGGAATAAATGACTCCTCCTTTAGCAGAAAATTATGAAACCAAAGCCTCTCATCTTATACTAAATTCTTGCACTGGATGAAAATTTAGGGAATATGTATCTCAGGGAAACATAATTCTTGATACAATTAGTTATCCTATAACAATATTATCAAAAGGGTGATTTGTCAAAGAACCCTAATCTCTAGCTGTGTGCTACAGGCGGCAGCCAAATTAAAGCACCCTGATCTGTTTCACTGTGGAGGTCAAATGGCACCCCCACCCATTCTGTATTCCAGAGGTTCTCAAAGTGGGGACCCTGGGGTTCCCAAGACCCTTTCAGGCAGCCTGCAAGGCAAAAACTATTTTCATAACAATACCAGGATGTTATTTATCTTTTCCAGTGTCATTCTCTCTGGGGTACGCAGTGAAGTTTTCCAGAGACTACATGGCATGTGATAGCACAACAGATTGAATGTTGAAAGAGACAGAATACATTAAAGAGATTTGCAAAAATGTAAAACAATGCAACTCTTTTTTTGTTTTGTAGACAGTTATTCTTTACAAACATGTTAACATGTAAGGGGTTCATTATTGTGAGTTTTAAATAAATTGAAATAAAAATTTCCCTGTTTTAATTTCTGACAGTAAATATTAACCAATAAAATCGCTGTGAACAGAAGCTCTTTGGGCTCCTCAGTCATTTTTAGTTGTGTGAAGAAGTCCTGGACCACACTTTAAGGAGCACTGTTCTAAAAGGCCACAAGAAGGATTCTGAAAACTGGGACAAAGGTAGCAGGTTCCCCATCCCTCCGTCTAACCAGCAAAGACTCATCTGTTACGGAACTTTGGGATGCTTTCTCCCAAAGCCCCTGCCTCCGCCAGGGGTTGACCTCTGACTCCAGACCTAACCTGAAAGCCTCGGCTGTCTCGAGCCTGGTCTGCCTCTCAGATCCTCATATCCTCAGATCCGTTTCCAGTGGGCCTCCAGTCGCAGGTCCAGCCTGGGTCTCTGCACACGTTCAATTCCTGGTCATTGTCATGGGGGACATGGGTATCAGTTACTCTTGAATGGAAGGGTGCAAATAAATGGGAGGAGGAAACGCGGTGGGCGACTGGCCTGGACCGTGGCTGGGCCACAGGGGCGGGAGTGGCCGGAGCCTGGGTACCTCTTCCGACCAGGGGAGCGTCAGGCCCCTCCCTCGGCCAAGGCCGGGCCTCCCGGACGGGCCTGCTCACGGCTCTGGGTCTCAGGAGTCACAGGAGCCGCAGTTTTCCGTCAGAGGCCTGGCCCTCACCTGTCCCAGGAAGGCCGTCTTAGTGTCTTGAAGGAGTATTTGGCTCCGCCGCGTTGGGCAGTTTCATGGTTCTCTGGGGCCCTTACCTCTTTTCAAGCAGACAGGACAGGAAACCATGGGGCAAAGTCCTTCAAAGCCTCCTGGTCCGGGTCAACGTGGTGAGGCTTGTGCAACACTGTGGGGCGGGGAAGCGTAGTATTTCAGGCCCATCAGGTGGGTAATGGCGGACTCTGAGTCTGCGCAGTCTGAATAGCTTTGATTACATGTAACTATACGTTAATAAATTACATACAGAAAAACACTCCTGAAGAATAGACATCTGTCTATTTTCAGTGACTACCTTTGGGTCAAGGAGTTAGGGTCAGGCAGATGGGATTATAGGATAATTTCGATTTACACATACATGTTTTTGTGTTGTTTGAAATTCTGTAATTGGGAAACTTTATTAAGATAAAAATGTTACCCAATTGACAAAACTTATGTACACATGTGTTTTGGAAATGTGCTCACAATACACTGGTTTGTTGGGAAAAGAGTAGATGAAAACAACTGATCTGACAGTGTTACCTGTGTATGATTTGTTTCTATGCCTCAAACTTCTCCACCCCAGATAATTACACACTCAAACGTGCAGCTTTTTCTTCAGCTCTGGCAGGCGACTGATGTCTAGTTTTAGGGCTTAGAGATCATTGACGGTCTTATATTTAGAGAAACTGCTGCCATCGGGTGGTAAATTCCGGAAAGACCTGGCTGAAGCCAAGTCCAAGTCCTGCCTCCATTCTCTCCCTTGCAAAGCCTCCTGTGCTATCTTCAGAACTGCAACTCTGATTCTGATCACCAGGTGGCATCTGTCTTCATATTTCTCTCTTTTTAAATGAGAAGGCATTTTTTAAAGAAGAAACAAATTATTTTATATTTGCTTATTAAGCAGTACTTATGCTTATTGTATATGTGCTTAAAATTGTGCTTGAAAAAAGATTTTTAATATAAAAAGGCTAAAAGGATATCTATTTGGTTTCATACATACATTATTCATTGATCTATCAACCTCTTTCTTGCCCCTCCTTGAATTCTCCACCCCATGGAGCCAGACTACAGTTTTGTCTCCCAGGTGCTCTATGTTCTGGACAACCTGCACTGTGGGATACTCCCTAAAGGATGTCTGTGTTCGCTGTGTACCTCTTTAGCTGGATAGAGAACAGTGCACAGAGCTTGGCTCTTGCACCTACATGGTGGAGTTACACACTTAGATCAACCCTTTGAGGGGGAATTGTTATCCTCATTTTAAAGATGTGGAAACTGAGTCTCAGGGAAGGTGAGAATCAGCCTTGTCTTTGGGAAAGATCATGAGTTTACAGAAGTTAAAATACCCACTGATAGCTTGATAGCAATAATGAACTATATTATTTTGCTCTCTAACGAAGAGGAATGGATATGGTGTTCACCACTATTAAGTGCCTGTTATGGGTAATATTAATTTTATTTTTCCTAGAATTTAAATGATTTTTTTTGTAGAACATTTGGAGAATACATTACAGAAAGAGAATAGGAATGAACACCCCCAGTCCCACGCTGAACAGCCCGTCCTTTTTTAGGATTTGCTGACATCTAGTGGTAGAACCAAGAATATCACGTGACCTATAAACGATGATCGGTCAAGATAGGGCAAAAACATTTCCACGTTTCCAGAGTCCAGTCTGGAGTCTACCCTGGCTTGATATACATAACTTCCCAATTTTACCACATTGTTTCCATTTTTAGATGTTGGAATTCTAGGGATTAATGTCTGACTGTGTTATAGTTGCTTGGAATGGTGCACATATATTATTAAATGACACATACATATGGGTACCAGTTCATCAACTTCTCTTGATGAGGTGAGGAAAGGGAGATAAAAATCCCTTCCTTGTGTTAAAGGGCCAAGGTGTAGGACTGCCATTCTTGGGTTTCCAAGGCAGTGATATGTTGAAGAAAAAGCACAGGTTTTGGAATCACAGATGAGAGTGGGGAATGCAGGCAAGGGATCTAATACTTACTTAGGAGCACTTTATGTCGGATACTGTGCTAAAGTATCTGAGTTTTCCTGTGTATTTGTACATATGTGTATATACCTATGTATTGGAATAAAAAATAAACCATAATATAATATGGTCTTGTTACTTATTTTTACTTAAAATAATATACATATATAATTTTATTATATTTATTTATATTTTTATTATATTTTATTATATTTTCATGTAAAAAATTAGGTTCTGTTATAATTTTCAAAGGCTACACTGTAGTCTATTGTGTGAAAGTATCATGATTTCTTTAATCTATCACCTGTTGGATATTCAAGTAGTTTAGCATTATAGAATTATAAATAACACTACAATGAACATCTGTATGAATACATGTTTGTGCATCTGCTTTATCGTTTCCTTTGGGTGCTTTTCAAGAAATTAAGTTCTTGAGTTCAAAGGCATACATATTTTTAAAACTTTCTAGTACACATTTTCATACTGCCATTCAAAAAATTATATTAGTTTACACTCCTGACAATCATGCAAAGAAGTATCCATTTGTTTACCTCTACACAAATACTGAGAATTATAATTCCAGTGAGAAAATATAATATTTCACTGTTGTTTGAATTTGCAGGACCCCAGCCCAGGTGGCCTTCGAAAAGATGCAGGAGCAGTGGCAAATAGAACGGGTCCTGAAGAAAGCATCCAAAACCCACAAGCGGAGAGTCGAGGACTTCAACAGACACCTGGACACACTCATGGAGCACTATACATCCCCAAAGTCAGCTGGATGAAGTAGCCTTCCCGCCCAGAATATGGAGTGGCGTCAGGGGCAAGCAGAAGGCGAAGGTGGGGTTATGCTTGGTGCCTTTGTTTTTTTCTAGAAACATTCTTTTACACACACCCTGGCATCTTATGCCAAGGTGGTGCTTTTCAAAGCAGTGTGCCCTCAATCTGGAACTTGATTAAAGTAAGACTGTCCTTTAAAAAAAATTGATTGATCACTTGTGAGGTTTTTTTTAAGCAAGGCTTTGGAAGTATAACAGACCGAAAAGTGCACAAACCATAAATGTGCATCTTGATAAATTTTCACAAAATGAACATATTTGTGTGGCTAGAACCCAGATCAGGAAAGAGAACATTACTAGCACTCCTGAGGCCCCACTAGTGTCCATCTCTAGTCACTAAACCCTCTCTCCCTACCGAGAGTAACCGTTATTCAGACTTTTAAAAACATAGATTAGCTTTGCCTGTTTTTGAATTTTATCTAAATAGAATCATTCACTACTTGCTATTTTGTGTCTGCCTTCTTTCACTCAATATTACATTTGTGAGATTCATCCATGTGATCGCATAAGGTTTCAGTTTGTTCATTATCATTGTTGCATAGTTCAATGGCAAAAAATATAGTAGGAGAGTTTTAACAGACTTCTCTCAGTACTGATAAAATAATAAAGACAAGAAATCAGTAAAGACTATAAAGTATTTGAATAGCACAATTAATAAGTTTAACATAATCAACAAATATAGAACCCTGCACTCTCAAACTGCAGAATGCACTTTCCTTTTAGGTACAAACAAAACATACAAAATTTGACTACATGAAGGACATAAAGCAAGTCTTGACAAACTGTAAAGATTGAAATAACAGAGTATGTTCTCTGACCATTGTGAAATTAAGCTAGAAATTAATTTAAAAAAGTAAAGCAGGAATTGTTATATGTTTTGAAATTAAGAAATACATTTCTAAATAACCTACGTGTCAAAGAAGAAATAAAAATGGAAATTAGAAAATATTTTGAACTGAGTATTAATGAAATTATGACATAGAATTTGTCGGGTACAAAATCCTAGGAGACTTTTTCTTGGATTAGAAATTGAGAAGCTGATTTAAAAATGTATATGGGAAAACAAAGGACCTAGGATAGCTAAAACAACTTAGGAAAAGAACAAAATTGGAGGTTTCACACTACCTGATTTTGAGATTTTCTATAAAGCACAGTTATTAAAAGACTGTGGTTATGGTAAAAGAATAGTTATATAGATCAACAAAGCTGAATAAAGAGTCCAGAAACAGCCCCCCACACATGGTCAGTTGATTTTCAGCAAAGGTGCCAAAGTAATTTAGTGGAAAAATAGTAGTCGTCTCAACAAATGATGCTGGAACAATTGGGCGCTCATATGGGAAAAAAAATAAACCTCACACCTTACACAAAAATTAACCCAGAATGTATTATCTACCTAAATGTAAGGGCTAAAAATATAAAGTGTCTAAAATAAAACATAATAGAAAATTTCTGTTATCTCGTGTCAGGTGAAATTTTTTTTATGATAGGAAACAAACAGTATAGACCATAAGGAATAAATAGATAAATTGGATTTATCAAAATTAGAAACTACTGCTGTCTGTAAGATGCTGTTAAGAAAATGAAAAGCCAAACCATATACTAGGATAGAATATTTGCAAATCAGCATAGCTAATATAATTCTGGCTTGTATCCTGAATATATAAAGAACTCTTACAAGTCTATAAAAAGAAAATAAACAACCCAATTTTAAAAATATGGGCAAAAGATTAGAATAGCCACCCTACTAAAATAGATTAAAAAAATTGAAACCAAGCAGGAGCCTATGGGGCCTTCCCAGGACAGAACCCCCACCCCTGCCATGTCCACTACCTGCCTCTTGTTTGCAGAAAACATTTAGTCTCCTAGGCCCAAGTTCTAAACAAAAATTTAATCAGAAAAATGAGAAAATGCAGAAACAAAGGAAAACAGTCAAACAAGACAAAATAATAATAGTTTAACCATCAAAGTCAAGGACTTCTAGTTCCTTCTCAAAGGCTATAGATAATATTCCAAGCCATATCTTTTGAGCTGTTTTGCAGGTACTAAAAGCCCCACCAGGTGGAAGAAGTTAACTATATGCTGACCACAAGCACATAGACTCCAGATGTGTGGAAACTGGAAGGTTGACGATCTTGACTTCTGATTACCTCACCACCAACCAATCAGAAGAATGTCCATGAGCTGATCACACACCCCAGCCTCTCCATCACCCTGTCTTTAAGAACCTTTCCCTGAAAACCATTGGGGAGTTTGGGTCTTTTGAGTATTAGCTGTCTGGATTCTTTGTTTGGTGCCTGCAATAAATGCTGAACTTTCCTTCACCACAACCTGGTGTCAGTAGACTGGCTTTACTTCGAAGGCAAGTAGACCCAAGTTTGGTTCAGTAACAAGATGATAAAATCAAGTACAGATGAGGATCAGAGCAACTGGAACTTTCACATAATTCTGGGGGGAATGTAAAATAGTACAGCCACTTTGGAAAATTGGTTTTTTAATAGACAATCCAACAATCCCACTCCTAAGTATTTACCCAAGGAGGAGTAAACAAAGACTTGTACGAAAATGTTTATAACAGCTTCCTTGATAATGGGCTTGACTTGGAATCAACCAAATACTCATCAATTGGTGACTGGATAAAAAGATTGTGTTATATATATACAGTACAATGCTAAGCAATAGAATGGATTGAGCTATTAATACAAGTAACAATATGGATAAAGCTCAAAGACACTATCTTAAAAGAAACTCAGATGCAAAAGGCTTATTTCATTTTTATGGCATCCTGAAGAAAGCAAAACCAGAGGGACAGAAATCAGATGAGTGGTTTCCAGAGTCTGAGGTTGGGAGAGAGGATTGACTATAAAGGGCACAAAGGAACTTTTTAGGATGATGAAAATATTCTATATTTTGATTGTGGTGGTAATTACATGACTGCATACCTTTGTCAAATCTCATAAAACTTTACATCTAAAAAAAGTGAATTGTACTGTGTGTAAATTTTACTTTGATAAGCCTGACCCAAGAAACAAACAAAAGACCTGTGAAACTGAGAATGGCCAGAAATGAACCATCAAAACATCTGTCTCAAGAAGCTAGAGGGAAAACCCAATTAAATTAAACTGAGTTAAGTTGGTGATGATATAATTCCTCTTTTGTAAAGTTATGTTTTTTCCCCATGACTAGCATCTGATGATTCAAGTATTTATCATTAATCCTTACATAAATCAATTATTTCACTGGGGATCACAAAATGATAATTTTTGAATCCTATCATTAAAAATTTTTTTATTGAAGTGTAGTTAATTTACAATGTTGTGTTAGTTTCAGGTGTACAGCAAAGTGATTCAGTTATATATATATATATATATATATATATATATATATATATATATATACACACACACATATATATATATTCTTTTTTCAATTCTTTTCCATGAATCCTGTCATTCTTATATGTTAACTAATTAACATTCTTCTAATCTGAAAGTGTTTTCCTTCATTAACTGGGATGCTTGGTTACTTGAAATATAGTTTCTACTGTTACGGAAATGACAGGCCAGCCAAGAAACAAGCACCACTCAGAGGGTTGGAGTACTCAGATGTATTATGCCGGCGGGCTCAGAGGGGCTTCTGCTCCGAAGCTCTGAGCACCTCCAATACGTGTGCATGAAGTTTTATAGGTAAAGTACAAGCTTGGAGTATTCGGCCAATAGGCATGGAACAGCTTTAGCAGCATCATTGTCACAAAAGTGGAGGCAGGGAGGCAGCAAACCAACATTCCAAAGCCAGATATATATCTTTGAAAATCCAGCCGGCTAGCAAAAAATACATGAACAGCAAACCAACACTAATTAACTTAACATTTACAAGTTAGTCCAGAAGAACTCAGATCAGTATTCCGATACTTAGATTTGTGAGTTATCTTGTTAGCCCAGCCCAGCCTCTCCTTCACATTCCTAGACTTGTGAGTTACCTTGTTAGACCAGCCCGGCTTTTCCTTCACACTACTATAAAGGTAGGCAAATGCCTAATTCTTTTCCCTTAATGAGGCTGATTGCTCCCAACAATGCTCGGCCTTAGTTTTGCTCAGTTTTAGTTTTGATCAGTCCAACAGTTTTAGAAAATTTAAGAAATTCTGTTTCAGGTCAAACTCTTGTTTCAGGTGTTATTTTAAAAAAATTGGTTTGACTGGATAGTGCTAAATTTATAAATTAATTTGAGGAAAAACATGGTACACAATAGTATGTACAATATGATTCTTGTGTTTTACCTATATATTCTCATATAGATCCAAGTATATATGGGTATTAAATATATGATAAAGGTTCTACTTCAAATCAGTAGGAGAAAGGATGGACTCTTCAATTACATGCTTTTGGGAAATTGGACAACCATTTGGAAAAAATAATATGAGATAACTATCTCATGCTGCTTATTAAAGTCTAAATGGATCTTAAAACTTATAGTATTATAAAATATAGGAAAATATTTTTCATAACCTTCAGTTGGGGAGGAAAAAAATCCATAAATGACTCTCTCACACCACACAAAAATAAATCCAAAATGAATTAAAGACTTAAATGTAAGATCTGAAACCATAAAACTTCTATAAGAAAACATAGGCAGTAAGCTCTTTGACATCAGTGTTAGTAATATTTTTATGGATATAGCTCCTCAGGCAAGGGAAACAAAAGCGAAAATAACAAATAGGATCAAACTAAAATTTTTTTGCAGAAGCAGAATGAAGGAAACTAGCAACAATATGAAAAGGCCATCTACTGAATTGGAGAAGATATTTGCAAATGATATATGCAACAAGTGGTTAGTATCCAAAATACACAAAGAATACATATAACTCAACATCAAAAATACAACCTGATTAAAGAATGGGCAGAAGACCTGAATATGATTTTTTCCCCAAAGAAGACATACAGATGGCCAACAGGCACAAGAAATGATGCTAACCATCACTAATCATGAGGGAAATGCAAATTAAAATTATGATGAGATATCATCTTACAGCCATTAGGATGGTTATTATCAAAAAGAGAAGAAATAACAAATGTTGATGAAGATGTGAGGAAAAGGAGACCCTCATGCACTGTTAGTAGGAGTGTAAATTGGTGTAGCCACTATAGAAAATAGTATGGAGATTCCTCAAAAAATTAAAAATAGAACTACTATATATGTGATCCAGCAATTCCACTCCTGGGTATTTATCTGAGCAAAAGAAAAACACTAATTTGAAAAGATATATGCACCCTTATGTTCATTGCAGCATTATTTACAATAGCCAAGGTATGAAAGCAACCTAAGTGCCCATTAATAGATGAATGGATAAAGAAGACCTGATAGATATATATTTGTTACTCAGCCATAAAAAAGAATGAAATCTTGCCATTTGTGACAACATGGGTGGACTTAGAAGGTATTATGCTAAGTGAAATAAGTCAGATAGAGAAAGACAAATACTGTATGATTTCACTTATATGTAAAATATGAAAAACAAAGCAAATGAACCAACATAACAAAACAGAAACAGAGTTACAGGTACAGAGAGCAAACAGGTGGTTGCCAGAGGAAAAGGGGTTAGGCGGAGGAAAGAAATAGGTCAGAGAGATTAATAGGTACAAACTTCCAGTTGCAAAATAAATGAGTCACAGGTATAAAATGTAAAGTGTGGGGAATAGTCAATAATTATGTAATTTTTCTTTTTTAAGTTTAAAAAATCCATAAATGAAAAGACTGATGCATTTGACCACATCAAAATTGAAAATCTTCAGTACATGAAAAGATGGCATAAGCAATATCAAAACAAGCTACAGACTGGGAGAAATTATTTGCAACATGAAAAAACAGAGAAACAAGTCCTATTCACAGTAAATACAGCTCTTCTGCAAAGACAATAAGATAAAGATAATATAACAGAAAAATAGGAAAAAGATGTGAGCAGACAATTTTCAAAGCTACAAATGACCAATAAACATGTGAATCGATGCACAACCTCACTACTTAATAGCAAAATGGAATCTACAACATTGCTATACCACTTCTCAGTCTTCTGATTGGCAAATTTTTCAAAGATAATTTTTGTAGTTTTGTTTGTTATTACTAAAAATTAAAGAAAACGCAAATGTCCATCAGTAGAGGAATAGCTAAATAAACCATACTATAAGCCATAGTATGGAATATAATACAATTAAAAAGATCCACATTTACTGACAAGAGAAGAGTTCCAAGATACGTTGATGAGTAAAAACCATCAAGTTGTGAGATATATGTACAATATGATGCCCCCTAACAGTATTTCTGTACATACATATATGTGTATTAAATTCATAGGAAAAGGTCTGGTGTGCTGTATCAATCTAATAAAGCAACTCTATCTGGGGAAGAAACTGGTGCGTATTGAGGTATAATTTATATGCAATATATCACACATATCTTAAATGTTCAATTTTAACAGTTGTGTATAACCATGTAACTACCACACAAAACAAGATAGAGAATATTTCCATCATTCCAGAAAGGTCCCTTATACCTCTCTTTCCAGTTAATTCCCCTCTATTTCCCAATCACTTTCTCATTTTTATCGTCACAGATTAGTTTTATTTGTTCTTGGATTTCACATAAATGGAACCCTACAGTACTCCTTTGTGTCTGGCTTCTTTCATTCTGCATATTGTTTTTGAGATTTATCAATATTGTTGCATGTATTGGTATTTCATTACTTTTTATTACTGAGTGGTATTCTATTGTATATACACACAACAATTTGTTTACCTTTTCTCCTGTTGTTCCCTGTTTTAAGCTATTATAAACTTAGCTGATACAAACATTCACAAGTACAAGTTATTGTGTGGACATATTTTTTTTTCATTTTTTTTGACTAAATACCCAGAAGTGAAACTGCTTATTCGCATGGTGAGTGAATGTTAAACTCTGTAAGAAACAGCAGAAAAGTTTTCCAAAGTGCTTGTCCCATTTTATACCCCTAATGGCAATATATTAGAGCTCTGGTTTTTCCATTCTCATCAGCATTTGGTGTTGTTAGTCTTTGGTTTTAGCCATTCTAGTGGGTGTGTGGTGACATCTCATTGTGGTTTCAATTTACATTTCCCTGATTACTAATGATGTTGAGGATTGAATATCTTCCTTCGTAACGTGTCCATTCAAGTTTGTGCCCAATTTTACACTAGGTTTTCTTTTGATTGTTGATTTGTATATCTTTACATGTGCTGGATAAAAGTCCTTCATCAGATGTATGTACTCCATGTGTATATATACACACATGTATATATATACATATATATTTACATATATATGTATATATATTAAATATACATATATATTTCCAAGTCATGGCTTGCCTATTCATTTTGTTAATAATGTCTATGGATAAACAGAAAATTCAAATTTAATAAAGTCTAATTTCCTCTTTTATTATTAATGTTTTTTTGTATCCTGTCCAATATGTATTGTTTACTCCAAGGTAATGAAGATATTCCTACATGTTTTATGTTGGAAACTTTATGATTTTGCTTTTATTTTTAGTGGAAAAGTTTAGAAAGTAAAGCTTTTACTTTTAGCTAGGAACGTGGAAAGAGGCAATGGTCCCTCTGAAAGAGATGATATGGAACAAGTTATAAGATTTGGAGAGAACGAATAGTGGAAATCAAGGCTTTTTCGTGAGTATCTGCAAAAGGAAAAGTTATCAGAAATGATAAAAGTGTTGGAATAAAAATAGACTGTGATAACCTCCATACTACTATAGGTAAAAGAAATTGATCTAATATAAAGCTTGGGGGGAAAAAGGAGCAAAAAAGCATGGTGAATAGAAAATGTAAAAAGAAGTGACAGAAACAAGTCCACACATATGATCACAATGTGAATTGATTAAACTCACTTAAAAATAGACAGATTCTCAGATTGTGTTAAACAAAAAGATAAAAATCCACCACTATATTGTATTAAATAAAAAGGTAAACCAGGCAAAAACCAATAAAAAGAAAGCAAATGTAGCATTGTCAATACAAGGCAGAGTAAATTTTCAGACAGAAAGGATTAAAAGGAACAAAGAGGGATATTTAATATTATTAAGTATGGTTATATTACTTAGAAAACATAGCAGTTAAAATCTTTTGTATAATTAATGATATTGATTGAAAATATGCAATGCAAAATATGATATAAATATAAGGAAAATTACTACATCCACAATCATAGTGAAAGGCTTACCATATTTCTTTCAGTAATCCACAGATTAGCAAGTATATAAAGGATTTGATTACACAATCAACAAGCTTTAACTAATCTCTCAAACAAAAAACTTTGCACACACAGAATATAACATTCTTTTCAAACACACTTGATTCATAAATTTCTCCCGTGCATTAGAGAATGCTCATTCAACAGTTAAATCCCACCAATTTCTTTAAAAAAGTAGAAATAATAATCATAGGGTTCACAATTTATTTATTCAGAAATATTTATTGTGTGTCCCTGAATCCTAGGCCTGTTTTAAGTACTGAAAACGTGATGGTGAATGAGAGACAATGTCCCTATTTCCCAGAAGCTTACATCCTAGAGAAAAGAATCAAATAATACATAAACAGGCGATACATCCTTTAATGAAAATTAAACTAATGATGTTATAGAGGTTGGGTAGATATTTTAAATTGCATAATTAAGGAAAGCCTTGAGGAAGAGGTGGTACGATATAACGAAATAAAAT